AGTCTCTCCCTGCGGAGACAGCCCTGAAGAACTCCTGTAACGTCAGGCTGGAGATTTCCAAGAAACAATCTGGGACCTGCATCCCCAAAGAGACCCCCAAGAAAGAAAAGACGTGAGGCTGGGACGCGCTGGCACTGCAGAGACACCCGCCCCCCGCCCCGGCTGATGCCGTGTGGGCCCTGGGCGGTGGCTGAGGGCACCCCTGCTCCCCTGGCTGATGCCGTGTGGGCCCTGGGCGGTGGCTGAGGGCACCCCTGCTCCCCTGGCTGATGCCGTGTGGGCCCTGGGCGGTGGCTGAGGGCACCCCTGCTCCCCTGGCTGATGCCGTGTGGGCCCTGGGCAGTGGCTGAGGGCACCCCTGCCCCCCTGGCCTGTGATTGCTGCAGCCCCAGGAAGCCCCTGCCCCTTCATCAAACACAAACCTTTGAGCGAGGCTCCACGGAGACAGGTGTGTTAAGAACACGCCCTTGTAGGAGGAGCTGATTCCACTAATGGCGTGGCTTTTTAAGAAGTAAGAGACTCTGACTGAAATTAGCTCTGTGGTCACATCTGGTCATCTTTTCCGTTAGCACCCATCACGGGCAGGAGCACCCCAAGCTTACAACCGGCGTGCCCTGTGGGGCGGGGACCCAAAGGCTTGCATTCCAGAACTCTCACCCAGACTGGCACCCACAGGTCCTCCGGACCCAGCGTGCCACATGGCCGTCCCCAAGTGGAAGATGTGGCAGACCCCCCCCCCCCCGCCCCGTCCACATTGGCCTCAGGAAGGAAGCCTGGTCCCTCTCCCCGCAGGCAGGCCTGGGCTCCCAGACGCCCTCTCGCTGAGCGTCCAGCCCGTGGGCGGTAACCTGCTCTCTGGGATCACAGCAGAGAAGCCAGCCTGACAGCTGCTCACGCCAGGGACACCTGGGTCCAAGGTGCCACGTGTGCCTTCACAGAGATTCCCGGGGACTGGGAGGCTTGAGCACTGCTTAGTCATGATTCCCAGAGGGACTTGAGGTGACTTGCCATGGAAGGTCCCCAAATAAAACTGTTCAGCTGAGAAAATGGATCAGAGCCAAATGAGCGACGGAAATAATTGTTCAGAAAACCTAGGCCAAGACGAGGGAATGACTGGAGCCCAGCATTTGGTGCTCAGCCTCCTGGAACTAAGGCAACGGGTTCTATAACTTGGTTGTTACAACGTATCGCGTTTAAGATGGCAGGACACCTGGTCGACCTCTGCCTAAGCTTCAGAAGGAAGATTGGCTGACCATTCAGAGAGCCGCCTGGGACAAGGTAGGAGGTCTGAGCTCTGTGGAGGAGAGAGAGGTTGCCCCTCGGCTACCCTGGTGCTCAGAAAGGCCGAGGATTTCCTCACTGGACCTCAGGGGACCCCAGCACCTGCTCTTACCTCAAAATCATTCCCCTTGTTGTAGTGCATACTGAGAGCTCGAAACAGTTCCGAATCACGGAGAACCACCAGCGTTTTGGGATTTGTGACGCCATCCGCAATTGCTTGCCGGGCAGCTTTTTCCATCTGGATGTAATAAAACTCACGGAAGTTGCTGAACCACTTGATCATCTGGGAGGTGACGCAGCGGCTGAACTGCAGACAAGGGGTCCCGTCAAGTCAGACACTGGGCAGGAGGCCCTCGCAACGAAGGCTTTTCACCCATGCAAAGTGCGACTTTGGGGAGGTCCAGGGTCAAGGCCGATGGGTGCCAGCTTTTGCTGCACTCAGGAAAATTGTATGGCAGCCCAGGAGCTGCCTGCCTGGGAGAAGGACCAGGAGAGGTCGGAGAGCAGCTCACCGGCTGCTCGGAGTTGCAGAATGAATTGAAATTGCAATCAGAGTTTGTTGCAGGCGGCAACCAAACAACTGATTATGGGGGACAGAACTGAAGCTGAATGAGATAGACTCAAAGTATCAGCAGCCCCTAACTCCCGGGGTGGGAGAGGCCCTTATACACTTCCTGGGAACAGGGGAGGTTTGCTTCCAACGGAGTTGTTTTCCTTACTGTCACACTTGGTCTGTATACTTTGTCTCAGCTGGGAAGCACAGCAATTTGAATGTGAATTTGGCAGTATCTGGCTCGATGTATTCTTTATTCTTCATAACGTCCCCCGCAGAGACAGAACGCTTGGCCCAAGATGCCACTTACTGGTGTTTTTCTCTGCCCTGTCCTCCCTTCTCGTGTGTTTCTGGACTTATCTAGAGCTCAACACTTTGAAAATCCAGACAACCAACCTTCCTAGCCAAAGAGTCTCAGCCCAGATTTGGAAGTTATGCTAATTCCATCACCACCAAGGCAATCTTGAAGTGCACACACCGTGACCATGACTGTGACCCTGACCATGACCTAACACTGGGCAGTGCACACTGCCCCCGGGGAGTTTCGCTGAGGCTGAGACCCCACTGAATGACTTTACCTGAACATCAGGGAAACAGGCCTTCAGTAGGTTGGAGCTGGGGTACCGCGTGAAGAAAAACATCAGCTTGGCCTTCTTCAAGTGACCGGGCGTTAGGCCCTCCTGGGTTTATCTCTGTGTCAAGGAAAATCAACACCGTAAAGCACCAGGTCGTCAGACAGTTTCATCCGAACTGATTATTGAAATGGTGAATTGTCCTGTTCCTGTTGTTTCTATTTTCTTTTTTTTGGTTGAATGATGTATTTGCTCCATTTTTTTCTGTCCCTGGAAACACTGATCAGAGAAACTGGATACCATATGTGCACGGTGAAATTGCAGGGTTTTAAAAGCATCGTGATGTGTGGAACTTGGTACGTGCTCTCCGAATGGGCTGGGACGACATGGTGCCTCTATTCCAGGTGTCCCCAGGTCGGGATTGGCTGTCCTCCTCCACTTCGATGTCCTTGTCTGGAATGAGGAGGAGCCAGCAAGGCAGTCCCCACTACCTTAGCAGTGGCTAAGCCAGCGAGCGCCTCACGGGACGGAGCCCAGCTCACACTGTGCTCCTGCTCGTAGGCTGGGGTGGCCGGGCTGCACCTGCCCCCATTGGCCCGGCAGAGCTTTCCCTCAAGTCTCAACCCAGAGCTGCCTCCTCCATGAATCCTTTCCTCGCCGAATGAGCTGAGACCCCTCCTGACCCTGGGCCAGCAGGGCTCTGTGTACAACCCTTTATGGCAGCAGTGACCTTGTGGGAACTCGGACTGCATGTGTGTCTCCCCAGACTCTGAGCTCCCAGAAGGCAAGGACCTTCTCTTCATCTTTGTGTTCCCTGTGCCTAGCCCAGTGCTAGGAACATAGTAGGTGCTCAATAAATGTTTGGTGGATAAAGGAGTGGGTGAGTGAATGGTTGATATTAACCCATGCACATATATTGGAAGTTATATTCCAAACCAAACCTCACCCTGGGAGCAGATTCTTTCTCATTTAGCAAGAGCAGGGGCGCTGTGGTGTGGACAGGACCCAGCTGGGTGACAGGCATCGCACAGAGCTACCTTGGATCTCAGGTCTAAGAGCCACAGCTTTAGGGCAGTTATGGCTTCCCAGAAGGGGCCAGTGTTTTGGTGTAGCTTTGTTAAGCTGCTGTTGCAATGCTGGCATCCCATGTGGTTCAAGTCCCAGCTGCTCCACTTCAGATCCAGCTGTCTGCTAATGTGCCTTGGGAAGCAGTAGAGGATAGTCCAAGTGCTTGGGCCCCTGATATGCATCTGGGAGACCTGGATGGAGTTGGGGCTCCTGGTTTCAGCCTGGACCAGATCTGGCTGCTGAGGCCATTTGGGGAGTGAGCCAGCAGATAGATGTGTGTCTGTCTGTCTGTCTGTCTTTCAAATCAATAAATACATCTTAAAAAGAAACAAAAAGACTTCTCAATAGGATAAATAAGTTTAGCCAAAAGAAACCAAACACTGTGATTACAGCTGGCACAGGCACCCAAGCTACTACACAGAAAACCCTTGTCGCTGCCCATTTGCCATCCTTATAATTGCTGCAGGTCCATATATGCCATTGGAAGAACCCCGCAGTTGGGAGCCAAAGGCTTGGTTTCAGATGCTGATTTTGCCACCTGTTAGCTGTGTGACCTAGGGCAAGCCACTGACCCCCTCTGGGCCATCTCACTTCTCGAAGGTGGAGTGCAGTCATCAAAGCTCGTGCTTGGCCATCAGACCCTGGGTTTGAATCCTTTCTCCCCACTTGACTATCTTGCAACTCTGGACAACTTAGCTTCCTTCTCTGTCTCTGCCACTCTGGTACCTGAACCTGGAAGGGATACTTGATTGTGAGATAACACAAGCCCAGCACTCATCTGAGACGCTGGGGCAACTGGAGTTCAGATCTTGGAATGTGCTGTGCTATAAAGGGGAGAGGTATGTGCACCATAGGCACATTAACACCCACAGCAGAGGCACTGTGTACGAGAACAGCAAAATGCAAGACTACTTCTGCTTTGCCAGGGGGTCTATAAGTAGCGTCCATCAGTGTATGCCAGGTTTTGCCACTGGGAAAGTTTGAATCTTAGAGGGAAAACAAAGCATAGGGCCTCTCAGAATCTTTTGGATTCCAGAACTGTGGCTGAATGGAGGTGGCCCCGCAGCCATGAGCAGCTGGCACCAGTGCCTGCCACGAGGTGCCGGTGAACACTCCCCACTGGAGGTCTTCACACATGCCTCCCTGTGTCACGGGGCGGGGGCTCTGTGAGTGACAGTATTCTTTTACACTTCAAAGCCACTTGCCATTAGGTGGCTGTCATGGCCCCCAGGAATCCATCTCAATACAGGCAGCAGGACTGCTCGGGTACCTGATGCACCCTGAAGCTAGCCAGGCACTCCCCCCTGGCAGCAGGCCTGCTTGTGTTTCTTAGGCTGCGCTCTGAAGCCGCTTGGAGCTCTCTCAATCCAGTCCTCTCTTCACAGGGCAGGGCCAGGCACACACAGTCTCCTGGAGGCGGGTTCTTTGACCATTGCCTGGATTTAGTGCTGAGTCTTAACTAGCGGTCTCTGACGACAGACCCCGAGAGGTAGCCTTTCTCATGCACAAGGGCTGGCCAGCTAGCATCAGGCTGTCCTGGCCCGTGTGGTGCCCTTGACATTGAGGTCATAGAAGCTCACTGCCTTCCAGATGATCCTGAGCTCTGGGATGCTTCCAACGCCCATGACCAGCAGGGGGCGCTCATGACACCTAGGACACAAGGAAGGGCCCAGGAGTGGGAGTGAGCTGGCGGGACCCCACCCTGCGGCTGGGCCAGGCAAAGGACACCCTGGTTCCCACCTGGATATACGACTCCCCAGACATAGTAGTTTCTGGAGATGGCCCAAGACTGCCCAGGAAGCAGCAGCGAAGGCAAAGCTCACTTAAAAAACAATATCCAAAATGTGGCCTCTGGGGGCGGGTGCTGTGGCACAGGGGGTTAATCTGCGACTTGTGACACTGGCATCCCATGTCAGAGTGCCACTTCCAATCCAGCCCCTTGCTAATGTGTCCCCCTCTTGCTGTCACTCTACCTTTGAAATAAATAAATCTTTTGTAAAAATTTTAAAATGTCCTTAGAAACATTAGTTCTTCAAGATGCTCGCTGGAGGAGAGTTCATTGTCAAGTGAGTGGTGGGCTGCAGATACTGTGCCCTTAGCTTTGCGTCAGACTGCAGCGTGCTAAGGCAATGAGAAGTCCCCGTAAGGAAACCACCCTGGTGTCTACACAAGCTACTTCTCCTCACTCAACGACTCTCACCCCGGAAGCCAAGCCGCTGGTGCGGAAGGCGGGGTCGGCCTAAGGGATGCAAAGTGGAAGCAGTCAGATCCGGACCCCCGTGGGCCGCCCTGGGCCTCTTAGGCTTCTCTAAGTATGCGTCGGGGAAGTGGGGGCGCCTCTCTCTCCACGGGCACAGCCCCCAGGCCCAGCCCACTCAGCTGCAGCTTGGAAGCTGCCCCTTAACTTCAAGGTTTCTGGTCCCTTCCAGCTGCCTGGCCGGGTCTAGTCTGGGACGAAAACTCCCTTCCCGTGTGCCCTGGAGGTCGCTCCCCCTGAGTTATGGAGGCAGGGCGGGGAAGCCATGCCGCAAATGACGTCACTGCTTTGTGCACTGGCAGCCGGCACACCAGCCAGCCCAGCCACCGCGTTCCAGAAGCGCCTTCGAGATGATGGACAAAACGCTTTCAAGGAACGGGCCGGTAGTGGTGGGGAGTGAGGAGTCACAGAAGAGAAATGCCGACAGGCACAGTGGCCGCTTCCCCAGGACACAGTGAGCGGTGCGCCCCTGGGAACAGCGGGCCCAGAAGTGGCTGCGGCCGCGCCCCATGCGACGCCCGCATTCCTTCCCCAACCCCGCTGCCTGCCTCCGCAGCCACTGATGCTCCTGCAGCGCCTCGCGGGCTAGGAAAGGATACGTGGCGGGAGGAGAGCGCGAGCACGTCCCGGACAGCCTGCGGGCTGCGCTGCTCCGTCTTCACCGAGGGAACAAGGCCGAAGCTCGCCAGGCCGGGGCAGGTGAAAGGCAGGGGACACTGCCGCTGCTGGCTCAGAACCGACGGCCCCGGCTCGGCGGCTCCCCAGGGCTGCACGGCGGACTCCGAGGAGGGGTGGCTTAGGCAGGGCGAGTCCTGGGCAGCACTGTTGCTCCAGAGGCCGCTGGGCCCGGGGCCCAGGAGCTGGGTACGCATCTGCTCTCCCTGGCTGTAGGCAGGCCCAGGCGGGGCACCCTGATGGGGCTTGAGGAAGCTTCTCGCCGAGACGGGGTGCAGAGGAGAATCTAGAGGCTTGGCCAGTGGCAAATTTCCCAAGGGGACCCCAGCTGGAGGCTGGGCCCTCCTGGGCAAGAGGGCCAGAGCAAGTGGGTCATGATGGGCACCTCGCCCAGGAGGTGTGGGCTCCCTCCCTGCCTCCGGTACTAGCGCCTGGAAGCTTCTGCCCAGCGGGGCTGGGGGGCGCGGTGGATCCATCAGGAGCTTTTGCAGTACAGAGTCCACAGCCTGGGACACCGCCCTGGTCAGCTCCTTCCTCAGACTCCCCAGCAAAGCCTGTGCCCCAGGAGGAGGGGGGCGGGGCTCCTCAGGCTGGCCTTGGACCCCGGCCACTCTGGCTGCCCGCACCCCAGACGGGTTCTTGCTGGAGCTGTGCCGGCAGTTGCTGTCCAGCCTCCGGGGACCAGACCTACAGCCATCTCTCTGCTCCCCGCCCAGAGGGCCCGTCCCCTTCTCAGAGCCTCCAGGGCGCTGGGTGCTGGGCCTGGGCCCCACAGCCTGCTGGATGTGCCCGTGCAGGTGTCGCAGCTGTCGCTTCAGCAGCTGAAGCTGTTCTCTCACCCGGGGGCCCCCCTTCCAGGTGCCCTGGTCCCAGGCAGGGCCTGGCCTCGGGCGGCCTTGGTGCACGGGGAGGCTCTGCTTCCTCTTCCGCTCCCGGGTTGTCTCTGGGCAGCCCCGGCCGCCCCTGGCTCCTGTGTGGTCTGTCAGCAGAGGGTGGGGCGAGAGACACCTGTCGTGGACGGTGGCCTCCACTCTGGCCCTCTTCGCCTGGATGTGCTCACCCCAAAACCAGTCGGGGTCAGCCAGGCTGGGGCTGGGGACCTGGCTCCAGAGAAAGGGAGGGTCTTTCCCCAGCTCTGGGGATGATGGGCTTCGCTCACCTTCCATAGGGGGCTCTGCCCGTGGGAGCAGGTCCGACGGAGAAGAAAGCCGGGTGAGCAGGCCCGGGAAGGAATTCAAGGGCTTCAGGACCCCTCCTCCTGCCCTCCTGGGCTGGGCGCCCGTCTGTCCTTACAGGAAGGAGCACGAGCAGCCTTGGTAGGGGCAGGACTCGGGCCCTGGAGGCCGTGGCTCGCAGACCTCCTGGGCAGACACCTGAAATAAGAGACAGGAAGAAAACGGATGTGCGCCTCTGAGCAGCGCCTTTCAAACTCAATGTACAAGTGCCCGGCCTGGCCATCTTGTGACAGGTGCCGACTCCAGGGGCAGGTGTCGTGGCACCGCAGGTGAGGCCACCTCTGGGGATGGCGCATCCCGTATCAGAGTGCCTGGTTCGAGTCCTGGCTGCTCCACTTCCCACCCAGCTTCCTGCTAACGCATCCTGGGAAGCAGCTGTTGATGGCTCCACTGCTTAAGCCCCTGCACCCACGTGGGAGGCCCAGATGGAGTTCCTGGCTCCTGGTTCCTGTTGCGGGCATTTGGGGAGAGGACCAACAAATGAAAGACACATTCTCTCCCTCCCTCTCTCTCTCTCTCTCTCTCTCTCTCTGCCTTTCAAGTAGTTGGAAACAAATAAACAACAACAAAAACGTCTGTGAAGAGACTTCTTGCCGGCGTCATGGCTCAATAGGCTAATCCTCTGCCTTGCGGCACCGGCACACCGGGTTGTAGTCCCGGTCGGGGCGCCGGATTCTGTCCTGGTTGCCCCTCTTCCAGTCCAGCTCTCTGCTGTGGCCTAGGAGTGCAGTGGAGGATGGCCCAAGTACTTGGGCCCTGCACCCCATGGGAGACCAGGAGAAGCACCTGGCTCCTGGCTTTGGATCAGCACGATGCGCCAGCAGCTGCGGCGGCCATTGGATGGGTGAACCAACAGCAAAAGGAAGACCTTTCTCTCTTTCTCTCTCTCTCTCACTGTCCACTCTGCCTGTCAAAAAAAAAAAAAAAAAAAAGACTTCTTTTGGCCGGCGCCGCGGCTCACTAGGCTAATCCTCCACCTACGGCACTGGCACCCCGGGTTCTATTCCTGGTTGGGGCGCCGGTTTTGTCCCGGTTGCCCCTCTTCCAGGCCAACTCTCTGCTGTGGCCCGGGAAGGCAGTGGAGGATGGCCCAGGTGCTTGGGCCCCTGGCTCCTGGCTTCGGATCGGCACAATCATTTGGGGGGTGAACCAACGGCAAAAAAGAAGACCTTTCTCTCTGTCTCTCTCTCTCACAGTCTAACTCTGCCTGTCAAAAAAAAAAAAAAAAAAAAGAGAGAGAGACAGAGAGATACTTCTCTGTCCCCAATTCATCCTCTCTCAGAGGAAGTGGACAGATTGTCCCACTATTTCCATGGTCTTTGGTTCTCTTGCACAAATGCTGGCAGCAGACAACTGCTTCTCTTCTCCCCACCATCATCCAAAGTGGCCTTGGTATTCTCCCGGCTCAGCCGCGGCCAGCAGGTTCTGGGCCCACCCCAGGCTACTGCAGACTTGGAGCGGCAGTGACTGGCAGAAGCACCCAGCACAGGCTCCCCGTGTCACCCCAAGGGCCGGGGTGCAGGATGGGAGGTGGGAGCAGCTGCAGCGCCATCACCACTGGAAACTGCCTAGGCTGTTGGGTCCAAATCCCGAGAAGGGTCGCATTGCGCATAAGTGAGAACAAATGACTGCCAAGTTAACATAATTGCAAGAATTTATCACCACTGCCTGCAGTGTCAACAATTCGCATGGCTCACCACCTGAGAAGGAACCATTTCTCAATTTCCTGTTTTAATTTGACAAGGCATATATATTATTTATACTATGAAAAACTTTTTTAAAAACTGATCTTACCCTCTGATAAACTTGCCTGGATCATTAAGCATATATCCCCTACTTTATAGCTAAGAATGATCATTAAACTGGCAGGACTGATTTTTTAAAAATAATTTTAATTATTTCAAAGAGAGGGGGAAAAAAGAGAGAGAAACTCCCATCTACTGATCCATGCCCCAAATGCCTGCAACACCCGGGTATGGGCCAGGCTGAAGCCCAGAGCCAGGAATTCAATCCTGGTCTCCCAGGTAGGTGGCAGAGACCCAAGTACCTGGCCCATCACCTGCTGCCTCCCACAGGGAGCTGGAGTCAGGAACAGAGCCAAAGCCAGCTGCTGACATGGGACGCAGGCAGGCATCCCAAATGTGTCCCGACTGCTAAACCAACACCTGCCCCAACACTGATGTTTTAACCAAGAGGGACAGTACGTGATCATCTAAATTATACAAGGGGACTTCAAAAAAGTTCACGGAAGATAGAATTACAAGGTAAGTTGATTTTGGTACAAAAAATTTAAATGCACACATACAAGTGATCTGCAAAAAGTTCATGGAAAACAAGTGCTATGAAAAAAAAAACTATACATTGATTTCCACCAAAATAAACACCTTTTAAAAAAATTATTTATTTGAAAGGCAAAGTTACAGAGAGAGGGAGACACACACCCCACCCACACACAGATCTTCCATCCACTGGCTCACTCCCCAAATGGCTGCAATGGCCGGGCTGGGCCAAGCTGAATCTAGGAGCCTGGAGCTTCTTCTGGGTCTCCCACATGGGTGTAGGGGCCCACACACTTGGGCTATCTGCAGATGCCTTTCCCAGGCACATTAGCAGGGATTGGGAGTGGAGCAGCCAGGACTCAAACCCACGCTCATATGGGATGCTGGCATCTCAGATGGCAGCTTAACCTCCTGTGCCACAGAGTGGCCCTAACTTACATTCCACTTTAAAAAAAAAGGATTTATTTATTTATTTATTTGAAAGGCAAGTTACAGAGAGAGGGAGAGAGAGAGAGAACTCTTCCATCTACTGGGTCACTTCCCAAATGGCCACAATGGCCAGGGCTAGGCCAGGCTGAAGCCAAGAGCCAGGAGCTTCTTCCAGGTCTCCCACTTGGGACCCAAGTACTTGGGCCGTCCTCCGCTTTCCCAGGCACATTAGCCTTACCTACTACGCCACAGCACCAGCCCCACCAAATTTGTCTCTCCATGTTCCTGTGGACTTTTTGAAATATGCGCACATTGTTACAGACCCCCTCCTGCTGGACATTTAAGGAGCCAGCTCGAGGGGACGCCAGACTCCCTCCCACTTGTTATCAAAGGGCTGGCTGGGTCTAAGCAAACCCATACTGACTTAGAAACCGGTTCCCCACCTGCCTTAAAGGCCTAGTCACATACCAGGCAAGATAGTTTGTGCCTCCTTGAAACTGTCTTTGTTATAATCTACTGTTCCTGCAGCGTAAAACCATCTTACCGGCCGGCCCCACGGCTCAATAGGCTAATCCTCTGCCTGTGGCGCCGGCACCTCGGGGTTCTAGTCCTGGTCGGGGCGCCGGGTTCTGTCCTGGTCACTCCTCTTCCTGTCCAACTCTCTGCTGTGGCCCGGGAAGGAAGTGGAGGATGGCCCAAGTGCTTGGGCCCTGCACCCACATGGGAGACCAGGAGAAGCACCTGGCTCCTGGCTTCGGATCAGCGCGGTGCACTGGCCACAGCGGCCATTGTGGGGTGAACCAACGGAAAAAGGAAGACCTTTCTCTCTGTCTCTCTCTCTCTCACTGTCCACTCTGCCTGTCCAAAAACAAACAAGCATCTTACCTTGCACTTGTGATTTGTTAATCCCTGGGGGCCTAAGATAACCGTGTGCTCCCCCAAACTAAACTTCCTTGACACTGCCTTGCTTTGTCTGTGACACTATGATATATTCTCCACTAGGTAGCCTTTGTGTCCCCAAGTAGTGCCCGACTACCAATCGTCACCAAACAGATGTTTGTGGACCCAGTTGAAGAATTGGTTTTATAGGAGCCAGCACTGCAGTGCAGCTGTGAAAGCTGCTGCCCGCGACACACACACCCCTTATCGGAGCAAGGGTTTGAGTCCTGGCTGCTGTGCGTCTGACCCAGCTCTCTGCTGATGCACCTGGGAAAGCCGTGGAAGACGGCCCAAGTGCTTGGGCCCCTGCACCCATGTGGGAGACCCGGATGGAGTTCCTGGCTCCTGCTTTGGCCTGGCCCAGCCCCGGCTGTTCTGGTCAATTGGAGAGCGAACCAGTGCATGCGAGATCTCTTTCTCTCTCTTTCTCCCCCTCCCCACCGCTGTCTCTCTCTCTCTCACTCTGCCTTTCAAATAAAAAAATAAATCCTTTTAAAAAATGGTTCTAGGGATCTGCACTGTGGCATAGCAGGTAAAGCTGCCGCCTGCAGTGCCAGCATCCCACATGGGTGCTGGTATGAGTCCTGGCTGCTCCACTTCCAATCCAGCTCTCTGCTATGGCCTGGGAAAGCAGTAGAAGATGGCCCAAGTCCTTGGGCCCCTGAACCCGTGTGGGAGACCCAAAAGAAGCTCCTGGCTCCTGGCTTTGGATCAGCGCAGCTCTGGCCGTTGTGGCCATTTGGGGAGTGAACCAGCAGATGGAAAATCTCTCTCTCTCTGCCTCTCTGTAACTCTTTCAAATAATAAATCTTTAAAAAAAAATTGTTCTACAAGCACTTCATTTATAATGACTTTTTAAACATTTAATGGTCAGGGCTCCCCCATCCCCCGCCCCCTAGGCTGGGCCATACCAAAGCCAGGAGCTGGGAATTCAATCCGTGTCTCCCTCATGGGTGGTGGAACCCCACTACTTGAGCCGTCACTGGCGCCTCCCAGGACCCATATTAGCAGGAAGCTGGAACCCAGGCCCTCCCAGGAGGGATATGGGCGTCTCAACCAGCAGGCTCCGCGAGGTCCCCTGAGCACAGGCGCTTTGCTTCGGAGACCCTGGCGCCTAGGACGGAGCCCTGGGCACGGCACAAAACGGATACAGACGAGCAGAGGAGACCACGGAGCCTGAGCTCCCCGGCAGATGTTAAGGCTGTTTTTTCAGGGGCCCCACGGAGCGGGCGGAACACCAGGGAGAGAGAGGCGGGGCCGCGGTTCAGGAAGCAACCGGGAGCCTGGGACCCTAGAGGAGAAGCTGGAAACGCAGCCGGCCTGCGCCGCGCTCGGGGCGGACGTGGCTCCGCCCGACTCCCCGACACCCGGCCCCGGGCTGCGGAGCCGCAGGAAGCCGGCGCCGCCCGGAGCCCTGTGGCCGGGGCGGCCGCACCGGGGGCAGCCGTGCTTGGTGTCTGAAAGTGATCGGCCGCGCTCTGGCTCTCGCTGCGGGGAGCAGCGGTGATCCCGACCCTTTGGAAGCCTCTGCATGGCTTTCCTTAGGTTGCGAAAGTAATGCAGGCTTCGCTGACTTCCCAGCTAGAGAGACGTCCGAGGG